CCTCGAGTTCCCCAACACCCTCGCGCACCTGCCCACCTTCGAGCCCCGCGCCCCCTACCTCGTACCCCACCCCTCCACCCCTCCCCCATTTTATTCCGTCACTTATTTTTATCTTATTTGGATATCTGCTTTTTATTGTGGTCGCCAGGCACTGCTCGGGGTCCGCGCTCTTCCACGAAGCACGCCACACGCCACACGACACACGACACACACAACGACACACACAACGACACACGCACACGCAGGCACAAGACACACGCAGGAATGAAAGGGGCTAATGTCAGGGAATGGTGATGGATTGGGTGATGGGTGAACAGGACACTGGCCAGCCGCGGAAGAAGGACTACTTGGAATTCCTCAAGACGCAGGCGGCGCGATTCGAGCGGGTGTTCGTCGTCACCGGCAACCACGAATACTACAGCTCCGACCGGTACCTTCCGTAGTTTCTCACAACAACGCACGACACACGATACACGACACGACCAACGACACGACACGAGACAGCACGCACTAACCGCACACGCTCGTAGAGACACAGTGCTGGGAAATCGCAGAGTTTTGCAGCACCTTCGACAACCTGCACTTCTTGCAAATGAGCTCCGTCCTGCCCGAAGATAACGGTTCGCCGATCACACAAGTATATCTTGTTTGTCGTGTCGTGTCGTGTCGTGTCGCGCGTGTAGCGTGTCGTGTGTCGTGTGACTGACTTGGGACTGAACAACACACAGGGCACAAGGTGCGCGTTCTGGGGACCACCCTGTGGCACCACTGCCCGGAGAAGGAATTCTCTCAGGTAGAGAGCACCATGAACGACTATGCCATGATCGGGGTGCCCAGCACCACATGTACTTGCCCTTCTCTCCCACATGCAACCACACGATACACGCACACGCACACGACGACACGACACGACACAACACGCACACACACACACTTACACACACACACACACATACACACGCACACGCACACGTACACGCACACGCACACGCCGCATGTCGCGGTATGTAACGCATGTGGAGCTGGCTTCACGGCGTGCAGCTGCGGGAGCTCCGCTGAAGCGGAAACTGAAAGCCACGGACACGAACAGCTGGGCGGAGGAGGTGGCCTGGCTGAAGGCTGCCATCAAGAAGGCCAAGAAGGCGGGCGAGGCCGTCGTCGTGCTCACCCACCACCTCCCCTCCAACAATAGTTCGAGCCTCAACTCTCATTATTATTTATTTTCATTATTATTATATTGGTAGACTAATTAGCAGTAATATTGTGGGGCGCAGTGGTGTGGGGCGGGCGGGGATTCAGTACTGATCTCGAGAAGATGATCAAGTCGCCAATCATCTTCTGGGGCTACGGCCATACGGTGCGTCTCTCTTTCCTTCTCTCTATGGTGAACATATATGGAAAAATTTAGCTTGCATCATGTTGTGATCACAGCACGCGAGTTACCAGAAGGTGATCAACGGAGTCATGGTGGCCTCCAATCAGCTGGGCTACATCTCGATGGCCGAAGAAACCGGCTTCTACCCCGAGTTTGTGGTCACCATCGACCGTACGCCTGTCTGCCTGCCAGCAAGCACTGGTCGTGATTTTCTCAACGAACGACCAACCGAACACTACAGATGATGGCAAGAGGTACACCATGAGAAACGATCCGGACAGGAACAAGCGAGACGAGCTCGCCAAGCTCGCCGAGGAGGAGGCCAAGAAGGTGCGCCTCCATGCAGCGCCCGCATTTGATTGGGTTTGCTGTACTCACATCCACCACACGCACCCGCACACGCACGCACACGCATACGCACCCGCACCTGCAGCCTGCCGAAGCCGCTCCACCGCCGCCTCCGCCTCCTGCGGCGTCTCAACGCCCGGCCAACACACAAGAACTGGTCTTTTCCCTTAAACACAGGATGGTGAGTGATTACTAAAGTAGAACTGTACACCTAGCATAGGGAAATAGTGATATTGTGATGATGCACAATAGTTATTGTGATTTACACAACTTTTTTCCCATTTGTCAGCATGCACCATCAGTCCTGCTGGTTGGTCTTAGCTGGGTCGTTTCGCATGATGTAACTCTGGCGATCATCTGTTTGCCACATCACAACAATGGTTTATGTTTGCTTTTTTGTTTGTTATGCACACGTCTTGGATGGGCGGGCAGCTGGTGGTACGTACGGTCGATGGTGACCACAAACTCGGGGGAGAAGCCGGCCTTTTCGGGAGGCGCCATGAAGTAGCCCCTCTGATTGGAGGCCACCATGACCCCATTGATCACCGTCTGGTGACTTTTGTGCTGCATTGCAACGTCAACCGTCTTCCTCTTCTAGAAAGAACGAAAGCGACAAGAGAGAAAGAGAGAGAGAGAGAGAGGGAGAGAGAAACGTACTGTGTGACCGTACGCCCCAGAAGATGAGCGGCGACTTGATCATGTCCTACAAGA